GCTCTCTCCTCTAGGCAGCCTTCCTTAACTTTGCCCACACTCCATTAGATTTAATTAGTGACTGGGCCCACGTACTCCCATGATCCCTGGAGCTCCCCCTTATCATGCTGTGCTGAAATGATCTGTTTATGGCTTCATCTCTACAATAGGTGATAAGCTTCAAGTTCTGCCAGGGTAAAGACTGCATGCCATTTAACATTTTGTCTCCTGGCCAGAGTCAATGCCTACTTTGTTGAATTCAGGGAATATTTGTATTCATATTTGATTCCCTGGATTTATCACAATGTTAAAACACAGCAGGTATGCATGAATAGCAATGAATAAACAGAACATTCTATTGGATAAAATCCAGTTCTGAGATGAACGTGCTGCTTTCTACTTGTACCCACATCTGGTGCCAAAATGTTTGCATGACATGTACAAATGCAAGTAGACATTTATTTCTGACATTTATTTCTAATGTGAAGAAACTATTATTAAGAATGGGGTTGTAAGACAAACACTGATACAGTGAATTTCCAGAAGTTGGGACAAGCATCTTTAAGTTGGCAGCATTTGCTTTGGAGTCAAAAAATAAGTTTAATCGTATCACTTACCGGCAAGTCATTTCACCTTGCTGGGACTCAGTTTCCTCATCTGAAAAACAAGTCTTCTCCAGCTCCAAAAGCCTGCAAGTGGAAGTAGCCTGCTATTTTTATGCACTGCATTTAAAAGGTAGTTTGAATAAATAGGCTCCTGAAAAAAAATAGTGCATAGATGTGTCTTGCAACTGAAACTTTAGTACACTCATATACAAAGTTTAAAGATGGCACATATGTTAAAGTAACTTAGCAATAAGTTGTTCTAAAACATCTTGTGGAGAAAAAATATATAAACAATTATAGACAAAATTATAAAGTGCCTGGTGTTTTAAAAGAATGTACGGTGAATACAGCAACCACTGCAGAGTCAGGAAGTCTAGTGGTAACCAACCTATGATTTGCAGTATTTGTAAAATTTTTTTAAACTGTCTAAAATTGCACCATTTTCTTTTTATTTTACTTTTTTAACTACTACATAAACAGTAGTACAAGATGATTCCACAATGCTTTGTCATTATATGTACTTGGAACTTTTAAGTCACTGGTCTAATACAGCCCTTTCATAAAATACAATTCATTTTGGTCTCCTCATTGGCAGTGCCACAGAGTTGAAGATATTGGAATCAATATTATTACATATAAAATCCTGAGTATCTTAATTTTAATGTCTTTTATAACTACCTTGCTCAAATTTATGATTTACATAAATTTAAAGAAACTCTGATAGAAACTTACATCTTCTGTTTTCCAGGTTCCCAAGCTAATGGGGCCTTGGCTATATGAAAGCTTCCTATTTTAGCCTCTTAAGATTGGATGCACATTTAGAAAAGGCTCTTAGCTCTTACTACCCTGTACACTTTAACAAAATAATGTACAGAAATAACTGTGTTTTCTTAGGTTGTTCAGGAGTTTCTTAATAAAGCCATAAACTCTATGTATAATCTTACCAAAAGTCATTCGCGTGTATGTGTGTGTGTAGACAGTTTCCATCTATTGCCCAGGCTGGAGTGCAGTGGCGCGATCATGACTTATTGCAGCTGCGACCTCCCCAGGCTCAAGCCATCCTCCCACCTCAGCCTCCCAAGTACCTCCCAAGTAGCTGGGAGGTTAAAAAAATTGGTTAACATTTTTTTTTCTGTATTTTGTAGAGACAGGGTTTCACCATGTTGCTCAGGCTGGTCTCGAACTTTTGGGTTCAGGTGATCGCTCTTATCCCCCAGGCTGGAGTGCAATGGTACAATCTCAGCTGACTGCAACCTCTGCCTCCCAGGTTCAAGCGATTCTCTTGCCTTAGTCTCCTGAGTAGCTGGAATTACAGGCGTCTGCCACCACACCTGGCTAATTATTGTATTTTTAGTAGAGATGGGGTTTCACCATGTTGGCCAGGCTTGTCTTGAACTCCTGACCTCAGGAGATCCGCCCGCCTCGGCCTCCCAAAATGCTGGGATTACAGGCGTGAGCCATAGCGCCTGGCCTGTAGGGCCTTCATGATGAGTTCCCAGTGCTGGAAGGGCCAGAACATGGGATGCTACAACATGGCTCTAAGAATGAATGACTGTGCTGGTATTCAAAGATGTGTACATCCTTTTACCCAGGTCAGTTTTAAGGGCAAAGACTATTTTATTATCTTGTGTCATTTATTTCACTATGGTCATGACCATAATGAGCCAAAGATTAAACTATATTTCATGAGTATTGAAAGACTGGGGTTCCCTGTGCCTAGTATCTCACTCAAAAAAATGCTAGATTTATAATATTGACTGCTGTTAGAGGGATCACTGTGAGCAGTCCAATGTTTCATCCTTGGTGACTTTTGTTTTATTTTGTTTTGAGACTGAGTTTTTCTCTTGTTGCCCAGGCTACAGTGCAGTGGCACAGTCTCGGCTCACTGGAACCTCTGCCTGCCGGGTTCAAGCAATTCTCCTGCCTCAGCCTTCCCAGTAGTTGGGATTACAGACGCCTGCCACGACGCCCGGCTAATTTTTGTATTTTTAGAAGAGATGAGGTTTCACCATGTTAGGCTGGTCTCGAACTCCTGACCTCAGGTAATCCATCCGCCTCGGGCTCCCAAAGTGCTGGGACTACAGGCGTGAGCCACGGCGCCCAGCTGGTAACATTTTAAAGTCAATATACATGGCCAGCACGGTGGCTCACGCCTGTAATCCCAGCACTTTGGGAGGCCGAGGTGGGTGGATCACCTGAGGTCAGGAGTTTGAGAATAGCCTAGCAAATCCTGTCTCTACTAAAAATACAAAAATTAGCCAGGCGTCGTGGCACACGCCCATAGTCTCAGCTACTCAGGAGACTGAGGCACAAGAATCACTTGAACCTGGGAGGCCGAGGTTGCAGTAAGCAGAGATTGCACCACTGCACTTCAGCCTGGGCGATGGGGTGAGACTCCATCTCAATCAATCAATCAATCAAGTCAATATACATGATGGAAAATCAGAGTAAAAATTATCCTTGAAAATTATTTCAGTGGGTCTCCCCAGTAATATAGCATACATGGTTGTGTACTACCTCACTATGTCTCAGAGAGCATAACGTAACTTTGCATAATTTCCACCAGAAGTTTGATGGAAACAGAGCTGTTTCCTCCATTCAGCATTGTGTAAAGCTGTCATTTTCAGGGGCCATGTACTAGAAAAAGATACTTTTTCTTTTTCCTAGTAAGTGTATATAATTGAATTAAATGAGCATTTTCTGCAACAGCACTCAACAAAGCATTGTAAAGATAATGAGTTAATTCTACAAATAAAAACTGCAGGCCTGAGGGTAGTGACAAACGCTAAAGAGTCTATCAATTCAGAAACTATCATAATACATCCTTGAATGTCAAGTCTCTAGTAACACTGGAAAACTGCCCTCAAATTTCCCAAAGTTGCCTGTCAGCTTTGCAACATCTTTCCTAGAGTATATATGTGTCTTTTATTTCTTTACATAGGAATTGTTTGCCAATAAAGCAATTTTTTCAGAAGTATTTCTCTAAAATAAGAATAAAGTCTAGATTCTGGAAAAATCCTTTCTTATATTTGGCTACAACTTATGTTAAGATTTTATGTTTTAAAATCATAAACAAATCTAGTTAAAAACACTACAAAAATATAGAGTTTCTCCTTGCCTCCCCCCTCACAGACACAAAATCAATTCAAGTCTCAAAAAAAAAAAAATACTCTATGTAATTACCATATGACTCACAATTTTCACTCCTGGGCATTTGTCCCAGGAAAATGAAAGTTTATGTTCACACAGAAACCTCTACACGAATATATATAGCACTTTTATTTGTAATAATCAAACACCAGATACAACCCAGAAGTTCTAATTGACGAGTGATATGGTACATGCATACCATAGAATATTATTGAACTGAAAAAAAGGGAACAAACTATTGACACATATAAGCTGAATCTCCAGAAAATGATGCTGGGTTTGAGTCAAACCCCAAAAGGTTACACACTTTAATTGCAATTATATAACATTCCTATAAAGACAAATTTATAGAAATGGAGAACAGGCTAGTGGTTGCCAGGGTTAAGGGAGGAGTGAGATGGTCTGGAAGTAGGGGTGGCTATAAAAGGGCAGTAATGAGGGATCCTCCTGGTTATAGAAATGCTCTCTATCTTGACTGCATCAATGTCAATATCCAGGTTGTGATGCTGTACTATACAGTATATTGCAAGAAGTTACTATTAGGAGAAACTGGGTAGTGTTCAAAGATTTCTGTATGATTTTGTACAATTGCATGTGAACTTATAAATCTGAAAAAATAAAGTTAGATCAAAAATAAAAAAGGAAATCTCTCTGGCCTAATAAATTTACTTTATGACTCTGAGATCTAAGCTTAAGAATTCATCATAGCCCTTGGATTCTTTGTCATCATCAGCCTTTGTGGACCTTCCCAGTTCCTTCCCTAAGCACTCCTTCTCACCAGATGTACCCCTTCACAGTGTCCACACCAAAGAGGCTGGAGACCTGTCTGTACAGAAGAATTCTTCCATCTTCCTGTAGCTGCTACAAAGGCCACAACAAGGTATTTCCCAATGGCAAGGTAATCTGTCATTACTCAATTACCCAGATGCAAGGATTCTGTGAAGGAGGTGGATGTCAGCCTTCTTTACAGAGATGAAACTCTGCCAGTTAGGGCAACTTTTTCTCATATATGAAATGAGCCAATAGATTTGTTTGAGGAAGAGACATTCTATTCCAGAGGGACTACTACAGAGAATTAAAATACACACAGGAGTATCTTTCAAGTCTTTTTCCTCCCATAAATGTAAGAGTCATATTAGAAAATTATTTTAAATCGAGTCTAATAACTGATTGTCAAAAGAATGACTATGATAGTAAAAGGAATTTTTTGAACCTTTTTTTTTCAGGCATAAACATTCAATCCAATAAAGACATTTTTAGAAAAAAGACATTTTTAGAAAAAAGTCAACCTACACAATTTATTTTATTTTTCCTATACTTTGGCTAAACAAAATATATTCAGTGATACTGTAAAATACTAAGCATTTTCAGTAAAATTGGCAATCAAGTAGAGCTTAACTTTCTTCTGCATGACAACTGAGGATTTTAATTGGAAAAGTATTATCGTCTATAAACAGGAACATCCAAAACATATTTAAACCACTCGAGCACTTTGATTTTTCCATGTCCTTTGCATCTAGATTGAAACATATCACAGGAAATTTCAAAGACCGATCGCTGAATCTAAAATTTAAAAAAAAAAAAATCCATTTAGTTACCATGATCATTGTCACCATCAATCCTTAATATCTTATACTTCACTGGTCACACTTAACTCTGCTATGCTGTTTTATGCTTGGGAGAAGACAAATTACTAATCAATTATGTATACTAATTTAAAATGCTACCTTTAGGAGGCATTTTAATAACTTAGTCATAGGGGTGAAGTGCTTCCTCTAACTGCTTATGTGAAAACACCTTCAATAACACATTAGCCAGGATGCACTGAACATTTGGGAACAATTAATGCTATAGTCTACATAAACTATCAAATTGCCCCCCAAAAGTGGTGGTACAATTCTGCAACTGGTTGAGGTCACATGGAAAATAGAATTATATGCTAATTTGTTCCCATATTAAGTTATCATAAAAGGTCAGACTAAACACAGTAAAACGAATTCTGGAAAAAAATTAACTAAGTAGATTGGTATGTACCATATCAAAGCAAACTGTTTATCTTAATAGATACAAATACAAGACAATCTTAAAGCAGGGGCATTTTCTCCTTTTTAAAAACAAATGTTTAGCTAACCCTAGGCAATGACTTACATGATTTAAAAATACTTTATAGGAATAGTTTTTCCCTAAAGGAGAACAGGGGCAGGGTACTTTTTTTGCTTTCAAGCAGAGAAAAGCAATGGAAAAGGGCAAAATATCCAAAAAGGAAAAATTTCCCCAGAAAACTATTTCCTCTACTTTACATGTTTCTTAAATTTAATTCACATAGTTCTACATATGAACTATAAAATGAACACACAAACACACATGCTTAGTTTAGTTGAAATTAAAGAGGGGTCAGGAGATGGTAACTATAATACATTTATGATTGTACTCCAAAATAAACTAAACAATAATATACGTGTTTTTCTTAGCATACATTTGTGTTTATGCTTTATTTTCCATATCTAACTTTATTAAGAAACTATTGAGGAAAAAAATTCGTATCTTTTTTTTTTTCCCTGGAAGGCGTAAGTAATTCTATGGTTACCATGTTGACTTAAAAAACTGTAAATCAAATTAATGGTTGATGAATCTGGGCTACTAGTTTCACATATGATGATCCCTCGTATTTCTATATTTCAAAGGTCCTTTTAAAGAAAAGGGGAAATAATTTGGAGGCGAGATGGAGAAATGAAATATTACAGCATATGAAATCACAGGTCTAGTATTTTATAAAGCATCCAGTTTATTACAGGACACAACTAAGTGACAGAGATCATCTGTCACACCCTTAGGCAAACTCCTGAGAAAAAAAATAAAACAATAATTTTGTGTTCTAGAGACTATCCTTTTTTCCATCAAAAGATATACTTGTATTTTTCATTTCAACATTTCCAGTGGCATCCTACAAGAGAACTAGCACTCACAATGAGTCATCTGAATTTTCTTTAAATCATAACTCATTTTTAATTTCTAAACAGGTTTTACTATTGATTTAAAAAAGATTACTATTAGTTACATAAAATGAGTTCGGTTTCCATGAAATATCAGTTTGACATCTTGTTCAAATACTTACTTTTCTGCTACATATTACCAGCATTGTTTATCCTATTTTCCTTCCTTATCGAGTTAGATATGGAGATACCTAGGCATAAAGTCTTTAGATACCCTGATGGACTAAAAATAAATTTATTTTTATACAAAATATAAAATTTATTATTCTTGTTTTGAAGGATTTTATGTATTGGGAAATAAACCCATAAAAAGTTGAGAATTATATTAAAAGGGGGTAAAAGTCTGACAAAAATGAAAACATGCATTGATGCCTAAAAAATCAGGACTGAAGTAAATTAATCTTCATTCCCACTGAAAGCAATCTGATGTCCAGAGACTGAAAATTATTCTACCATAAAATACAGCACATTAAATACCACAATAGCCCATTTGAAATGTCTTAATATAATTATGATATCATCTACAAACGATTGTACATATATTTTAATACTCATTACTTGAGATTCCAATGCAAAATATATTGAAATTGTAAAAATATTAAGTCGGTTAAAGACCGCATCAAATCAGTAACTATTCTATAACTGAAAGTAAGACTGAAAATAAGAAATGAAAAAAAACAGTAAAAGCAGGGTCAACATATTTGGATGTTGCTTATCAGAAACAACACTATCATTCCTGATGGTTTGCTTATAAAATTCTATATTCCTACCAGCTAGCTGAAAAGAATGAAAAGCTTCTTATAACCAGCTAAAAAGAAAGACTTTACCATGCCCCTTGAAAAAGCTCATTTTCACATTACTCAGGCTTCATTATGCTAAATCAATATTCGTTTAGTCACTGGGGTTATTGACATATTTTAAAATAAAAGTATACCCTTCAGCTACTGCACTCATTACAGGTAATTTGTCTTGTCAGAGAGCAGGGAATATTATCCTAGTCTTTCAGGGGCTGACAGCCCATGGAAATACCTCCCCATGGTTACAACTGTAAATAATTTTAAGGTAAAATATTGAAAAATCAATGACTGTTTCCTGCAATCTGTCACAAACAAATCAATCATAATCTGTACTGCCAGAGAGTATGATTTGAAGGAGATGGGAGCAGATGTAATTCTTGGCTGGAATCTCTCATTTCAAAATCACTTCACATAATGGTGTCATCATTTAAACACTTAACAGTCAGTGCAACTGCCACTGTAACATCTAGTTGGACAAAACCACAAGGAGGGGGAGGAGAAAATGCCATCATTATTATGTTAACAAACATTTAATTTAAATGGTTGCTGCATTAGTAAATTTCAGCTGAAAACAGTTTTACCTGCCCCCTTTCACAGTTCCAAATTAATCAAGGCTGCTTTTCTATAATCTGATGCTTAGTAAATTAGCTCATGATTCAAATTTTGCCCTCTGAAGCACATACACCTTTTATTTTAAAAGTCCATTATAGAGAATAAAATTTGGAATTAATATATAAGATATCTGAATTGTAGAACACCCCTCTAATTCTGTTAATGTAGCAAAGACAAAACAGTATCATATATGTCAACATCATACTTTTAAAGTAAGTTTAAAGGTCTCAATTGCCCAGATATTAAATTTATATTTTCCTTCTATTAAAAAATATTACATTTCAACTTTGTAATATTGCAACATATTTTAAGATGACCAGCAAGACCTAGTCAATTCAAAAATACCCTTGCATTTCATACACAAGCTATCCCATAATAACCCAAGTATATGATGTGTAAAAGCTGGTGAAGGTCATAATACTGAATTTTTTTGCAAATGTAAACTGCTTTCCAAGTAATCACTTTGATATCACCATTTTTTACTAGACTACATTTTAATCGCTTCCTTAGCTGCTTATAACCTCTACTTAGGCATGAATAAAAAGAATCTGAAATTGGTATATTTCCCCTTCCTGCTGTGTTAACCAAAAATACTATTTGACTTAAAGATTAAAGAGTCTTTTTCCTGAAGGTTTTTGTTTTTAAATGTACACTAGTTCTTTTAATGAAAGAAACTGGTTTTAGCCATGTTTCTAACCAATTTCCTAATTATATAACTAGACACCATGAAGTCCTTCATTGTTTTATTAATAATATTCCTCCCCAGATATAGTTCAGGGGGCAGATTTTTTTAAGCCAGTCAAATTTAGTGTTGGGGGTTGGGGGAAGTTGGTATGTCAACATTAGTGAAAGGGGCAGATATTTTGGATGCCTAGAAAAGTATATTATTTCCCTTAAAAAGGAAAACAGATATAAATACCATTACAAAATTTCAGCCTGTATAAACATTCCTAGATATAGTAATTGGCCTATTATAAAAAGGTTTTTCTCTGTTTTTAATTTAGCCTGCATATTCAGTGTGGCTACATAGCATCAGAGGATTGAATCTTTTCTCATAGATACAAATTGAACCCAACTTTTGTTCTTCAAGAATCTTTGATTCTTAAACACCATGGGTTTTTGAAAATGAAAAAGCACATGGGTAAATTATCAAAGAAATAATCCACAATAAAAGAGAGCCCTCCATTCCATATGAATCCCTGCAACAGCTGCAAAGCAAGCAGGAAGCCAACCTAGGAAAAGATTACATGAAAAACGGAAAGGCACCTAAGGCTCTGAACCAGGAAAAGACCCCTGTGAGGAGCTCCTGGCCTCCAGGACACTACAGTGCCCCACGCTGGGCCCAACTAACTTCTCAGCAGAGCACTGGAACCAGTTGCCAACCACCAAGTCTTCTACTCAGAGTTTGGTCGTGTCTGGCAGTAAATCATCCAGCAGAAAACACATTCCCCCTAAAATGAAGGCAACAAAGAACTGGGAGGCGAATGAGGACGGTTAAGCAACATGCTAAATGCATGCACGTCAACCACAAACTAAAATGACATCTACAAGAACTGTGCAGGACATCTTCGCAGATCTAATTCTCAGAAAGAAGCTATTTTAAGGGTGCTGAGTATGGCTAAATGGTATTTCTCAGCTCTACCAATGCAGTCCATAGCACTAGAAAAGGCAGGCTCAAAAACTCAGCAGAGGAAAATAAAATTGTTTCCATATACCAAATTTAAAGAAATTGCTGTCTACTGCACAAAGTTCTTACATGTAATAAAGGTTCAGGATTACAGAGGAAAGTATTCTTTTAAAAGAGATAACATTACCTCCTTATCTTCAGAATCTCCTCCTTCCAATAGCCAGTACAGTAGCTCCATTATGAATTGTAGACTCTTAAAGAGAAAAACAGGAATAGTTAGCTTCATCTTTTGCACCACTTCCTTCCTTCATGGAATTACAATTTAATTACCAATACTCCAATTGATTTTATTCCTAGATGATACATTTCTCAAAAAGCATGCTCTTTAGCCATTTCCACTAGAGAACGTTTAATACAACCTTCTCAATTAATCAACCAAAACCCATTACTGCTGAAAGGACATGTTTTCTTCATATTTTCAAGAGTGGGAACCCCCTACATCTATTTTACATAGAAAGAATATAAGAATTTTAATACATTTGAATACCTTTAATATACATGAAATATGAATCTTAATAAATATGGCCGATAACAGATATAAAACTCAACCAATCTGCATATGTGTTTAGATTTTCCCTACATTTACCCTTAGGAGGAAAAAAAAATCACTCAATCCTCTTATGTTTTAAATTCAACAATTTTATACATGGTCTAAAACAAAGTAAAACAAAAAACTAAGCTTAAAGGCAAACAAAAAGGAATCAGATTGCTCACCGCCTAACACTTTCTTTATATTTGTGTTGTGTTTTCCAACTCACTGTAATGCTTTAGCTCTCAGTCATACATGAAACCCAATTTCCATAAGCAATCAGTAATAGGAAAACACAAGGATGTTATTTTAAAATTATTATATATCACTTCATATTAGTTAAAAATCACTGTAATGCCTCGGAAACTATTCAGAGAAACATTTATTTTATTGGAGGCTATATTAACTACTGCCTTCTGTAAAATTAACTTTTTATTTTTTTGATTATAAGAAGCCATTTTTTTTTACTTAATATAAGTGTTCTGAGTCAATAAATTCAGTTCCTAGATCTGACCACTAGACAAATATTCTGCAAAACAATTCTTTTTCATAGCTTTTCTTATCTGCCTATATTCAGCAGTCTCTATTTGATGAGAAATGACAAGTTTTACATACCTGTGTGTACTCTGTCACTAAAAATGTTTGGTACCCCTGACTGGAACTGATATTCCCACTAAATTTGTTCTTAAAGGAACTAGGTAATTGAAACGATTAAAACTCTAATTAGGCATAAACAGGTTATTTCTCTTAAATAATAATTCTATTTGTATAAAATATCACAACCTTCACTTTGATTTTTATGAAAAGCACTGAGTTTATAAATTTTACTGTCCAATTATACCATTAAAAATAAATTATTCAAAGTAATTCCATGATAAATAGTAAGTAAAAATAAATTATTCAGTTTTATTTCATGAATCTAAAATTTTTCTATTTACGGTAGTCTTGTTTAATGAATTAATAAAAATTTTCAATGATCAAAGGCCTCAAGTAACTGACATTCTCTACATTTTGTACTTAGCCTCTATTATCAATATAAATACTTTGGTAAAACCAACATTGATGCTATTTTGGATTGACTCCACGTACAAGCAAACTGTGTGCAGACACTCACTTGCAGACGAGCCTTGGGATGTGCAAGGACAAATTTCAGCCAACATTTGGAGGAACCCCTTAGTTCAGAAGTGAACTTACCTGACAACATCCAAATGTATTACGGAAGCATCACACTTATCACCTGCACAGAAAATGGAAATGATTCTGTTTAAGGAAACACAGAAAACTAAGTAATACTTTTGGGATATTAGATTCAAATATCCAATTTTCTCCAAGGTATCACTCCATATTATGGCAAATAAACAAATAAAAGCTGTATCAAGGTGTGGAATATCATTAGCCTGAGAAAAGACTAGAAAAATGGATTACGGAAATGACAACTGCAGGAGAAAATTACATTCTCTTCTCCCGAACAAATGTTAAGTGCATGCTTACTAATAAAGACTTAAACTCAAAGTACATTAGAATATACTGGTTTTCAATTTTGAAGCATCTAAGTTAATTTGCTAAGCTAAATTGGTGTTTAGGTATACTACAGCTATAAAAACACTGCAGATTTATGCAGAAATAAGTCTTCAGCATCACACTTCGGAGTAGTGCTATGAAAGCAAACCAGTCATTATTGAAAAAGGAAAAAAGGATTCCTAGATTTGACATGTTCTTAGAGTTGCACCAGCTGCTATTCTATTAAGAAAAATTATTCCCTATAAACAGCTAACAAATATACCAAAAAGGTGTTAAAATACAGGAGTCAACACAAAAGAGATATTGAAGAGAAATACACAAAGATAATGAGATACTACCACTCAAAACAGGCTGTACTATCCCAAAGTTAAAACATTATTCCAAAGTATGATGCTATGTTCATAATCTATTGTGAAGAGCATATTTAATTCACTCAGGATTACATGATTTAATTTACTTTCCTGTTATCAACTAAAGAACATTTTTTCCTAAGATTTCTAGAATGTACACATATAGTAATAATTATTGAGTTATTCGTTAAAATGGACAATTAGTTCATATTCCTATTTCATCTCTTTTAATGCAATATATCAAATTTGAAAATAACACATGGATAACACCATAAGAATGCTCATCATAGCTGCCAGAGGGGAAAAAATTTTTTGATTGGGGGTGCTATGGGAGATAAATAAAGCAATTATCTCAAAATTAATGGTCTTGTTTTAGTTTTAGCAAACAAATCTACATAAGTCTTTCTTTTAGTTTACTATGTAATTCTAACCAGCTAATTATCCTTGGAGTCAAGAATGAGCTGTGACTACACCTGGCTTTTCCGATCATATGCCTATGGTCTCCTCCACTTTCATTTCCTCTTTCTACAGTGAGTTTTAATATTAAAGAAAAACATACACACTTCTTACATACACACTGATAGCCAGCTTCCAGGAAATCATGAGCTACAAAGAGAGGGGAAAATCTTAATGCAATACTTATGTTAAAAGGTATTAGGTGCTGGGTAAGACAAGGGTAATATAATCAACAGCATCCATCTTGCCAGTGTTTTTGCATTCCAAGATTTGGAGTGAAGAACAGTAATATTATTTTAGTGGTCACCCAGGTTATGACTCAGATCCTTAAACGAGTAAGAGACTAAATGCACTATCTTCACTTACTCATCAATTCAAATGCACAGAACAATATTTTGGAAGAAATAAAACAGTTTTCTTCTATTTTTAGAAATAAAAACAAGGCATTCCGTAAACATTGTAGCTAGGTACTTGATATGAAAAAGAAATTGTTTCAGATCATTAAGGCACCCCAGGAGACTGCTTCTTTTCCAAAAAAACAAAATAGCATAAATTTCTCATATATTTACCTCTTATTACATTCCTGTTCCTGCACATTAAGCATGCCTTCCTCTACAGATTTATTCTGAACACTAATAAAGTGTTTGCTTAATAAAATACTGCTCTATTTTATGCTTTTCTTTCAAAATTAGAAACCATTATTCCACAAAGATAGAGCACAAAGAAACCGACACAGGCATTACCAAAAAGCCACAAGTAGTATTAGTCCATGCCAGAACACTTAACATTAAACTATCATTTCTCTCTAAAACTTCTGTTGCCAAAGTGCTCACAAAATCTGGAAGCTCAAAGACAGGTTTCAAGTGCAATTAAATTCTCCAAAAGCAAAACTGTACAAAAATATGCCGCCCTTCTTATGTCACCATTTATAGACAACATTTTCTCAGGATCTTAATTAAGATAACGATGCACACCTGTGTCAACATTCTCTGGCAAGACAGCCTTATCAATCATAATCCTTTAAGTACACTCCAAAACAGCAAAGCGATATGACAGAAGCAATCTGTTGCCTTTCCTAGTGTTGGTGTTGTGTCTCTCCCACAAGAATGATGAGATCTTTAAAATACAGCAGACCTACTTTTATGAGTCTTTAAAGTTTTAACTGTAAATAGCTATTACACTAAATAAACAGGAATAACCTCTTTTGCACTTGACTGAAACAATGACAACTGTACAGCCAAAACTTGAAGAACAAGCTCTAGGGCCATGTCTTGGCAATACAACTGCGAATCCTACTTTAAAGCTTTAAATTTTAAGAGTTATGCGAAACTGGATCCGTGCAGACATGACAAACCAATAAACCTTTAGGAAGTTTTAAAATGAGAATATTTAATAGTCCTACGTTAAAAACAACCCGAGCAAACTTATCCCTAGTGTAAGTTTAAATGTTTGGAAAGATACAAATGCAACAGAAAGCAAGGGGAGAAAAAGTCTTCTTGGTAACCTGGGATGGGAGGGATACAGATCCCACCTCTGCTGGAAGAGAAAGCTTCAGAGTCAAGGCACCAATTAAACTACCGCTACCAAGTATGCAGCTTTCCAAACGGAAAAGCCGATGAATAGGAAGTAAGAAGGAGGGTACAGTGAAACAAATGGTCTCGACTATCCAGACAAAAAGTTAAAAGCTCGTGTTTACCAGCAAAAAAAATGAACGCTTTCATATAAAAACGGAGAAAACCCGCCAGACGCTACCTGCATGCAGTCTGCCTGCTAATCATGATCCGCCCTTCCCTTTCTCATATTAAGACAATTCTATCTCAGACGCCGGGTGGCCGTGGCCAGCTGAGCAGCAGAGCCATCAATGTGCAAATAAAGCAGAAAATAGAGACATCCTTAAGAAATGAGTCTTAAATTTGACATAGAGCGGAGGTGACAACCACGGCAACAGAACCATACATTCTAAATGCCTCAATATCTTGCAGGAGTCTCTCCAGTCCTTGACACCAAAAATAAGACAGTACAAGAAAATGGGATTAAAAAAATTAAAAAACCAACTAACAAACAAGCCACGGGGCGGGGATGGGGGGAGAAAGAGCGGGACGGCCGGAGTGGCAGGATGATGTAATGAGGATGTCTGTGTCACAGACTCGGGTTCTCGGTGGCACAAACCTCCAGGGCTCTACTCCGGAAAGCCGCGTCCCGGACTAGAGCCGCGGCGACTTAGGGGCCACGCGTGGACTGAGGGGCCACGCCCACGCGCGCCCCCCGCGGAAC